AAATAAAACTTTCATGCCGATCGTGCGGCTCATCCATCAATCAGCCACTTGTGTATTTATATATACAGTGTGTGTGCATATATATATATATATATAAAATAAAGTACTATTTACTACTTGTACTACTATTCCTACGTCGTGGTTTTTCACTTATCGCGGGGCTTCAGGGTACAGATCTCCCACGATAAACGAGGGACTACTGTACATCTCTGCTGTTGGAGCCTTGATTCTTGTCAGTCTGCTTTGTGCTGTCCAGGGTGTGAGCTTGGGTGACAGTCCCAGGTGGGGGTTGATTGGGGGTAACAAAGATTGACACCCCTAATAAATCATTTCAAAGGACTATTATTTAAAGCAATATGAAGAAAATAAAGCATATCCATCATTTATTTAGGCAAAATTATGCACTTATGCCTCTCAAATACTTTACCCCCATCAGCCTAACAGTGGTTCAGTCCATTAATCGTTGACTCGAGGGGAGTGCACCTGAACCCTGAAGGAAGGACCCAGTAATGTTTTCTGTAGCATAATGGTTATAAATCCTGCCTTACTCATGGGAGAACAGGGTTCAAGCCACACTAAGAGTATAGATTTATTTTATTCTACTCACCCAATATATTTAGCTTCGTGTACTCTACAATTGTAAAACTTCTAAATTGTTTAAATACATCTGATTAGAAGGAACAATAGACCTTGTTTCATCATTACACAGGTTCATAAATTATACTGACAGACACCAAAATAAATTAATATGTTTGAAGAATACTTTTGTTAGATTTAGTGGCATTTTTAATTGGACACATGTCTTCAGTTTAACACGTATTCTCTTAGAGCTTAAAATCTTGTAATTCTGCTACAGATCAGTGACAATTATTCAATGACCACAAAAGTAATCCAAGCCTAACTAGATTATCCTCATTCTGGTTCTAAACAGTCTTTAGACTGAGGAAAACTGAACACATAATACAATACATACATACGACAGTTTCTCACTTTTATTCACCTGCAAAGTGAGCACATTGAAATCCTGTAATGACTAAGGCAGAGTTTGTGTTTACACTTTTCTATGGAAACATCAGAGGGCCGAATCAGGCTCTCTGTGGTCTGGATAAATTCCTTTACTTTGAATTTAAGGATGCATTTCTGATGATTAGCAACTTGTTCTTCTAGTTGATTTGGTTTTATATTTTTGCAAAAAATAAAAT